TAATCTTGTTAAATGTGTGACAAAGGGAAATAATAATAGTAATAACAACCCTTCCTCCTTGTCTGTTCTTTGACAAGTGAAAGCTATATTGCTTAAGGAGCTTACTAATTATGAGGCTTTTTTTCATTGCACAAGCCAGCTGAAATAACTTTTTTCTTAGATCCTGTTTGTTTCAAATGCTTAATATCTGAAACAAAGGTGTTGGTTTCTTGAACAGCCTTGAGTTCCTTAGTGTTTTCTGTTATTGTAGTGGGATCTGTAGTAATATTTCAGTGTATGTCCTGGCAGCCAAAAGGGCCAGCAAGGCTCAGAAAGGATCTGATAAATGTCTATGAATATCTAAAGGGAAGTAGGAGGCAAATGGGTGAAGCCAGGCTCTTCTTGGTGGTGTGTAGTGATAGGACACGGAGTAATGGCCTGAAACTTGAACGTAGGAAGTTCCATACTAACATGCAGAAGAACTTCTTCACAGTAAAGGTGACTGAGCTCTGGAAAAGGTTGCCCAGAGAGGTTGTGCAGTCTCCTGTGGAGATACTCAAGACCTATCTGGATGCCCACCTGTGTGACATATTGTAGGGAACCTGCTTTGGCAGGGAGGTTGGGACTTGATGATCTCTTGAAGTCTCTTCCAGCCCCTGAGATTCTGTGATCCTTGTGCGTCCCTTCCAACTATGATTCTGTGATTCATTATCCTGTTGTTGCTGGTAAAGACTCTGTGATAGAGGTGCTCTGAACCTGATCTGTAATGCTCTCTCTAAATGTCCCTTTACTACGGCTTCTTTCACCAAAATACTTCATTGCTAGTTCCTGTCTGAAAAGCTGTTTTGTGTTTATTTTATTGAGTTTCTTGACTTGCTTTGCTCAATCTTGTTGAACAAAATGTGTCACATCTTAAAGCAAACTGCATTTTCCAGATTAAGTTTTGTATTTTTTATTATTCAGTTTTGTTAAAAATATCTGTCTGAGGCTGGTTCTCAGTATATTAGTTTTCCCTGCTTACTATTTTATAGTTAACATCCCTAAATTTGGTTCTTGTAAAATGAGCCATTAGAACATAGTCTGGTAAATTTTTTGTTTTGTAAATGCCATTCAATATTAGTATTCCTGTCTGTCATGGCTTTTACTGGTATAAACTCTTTTATACATCTTTTTGTTTCCAGGAAAAATAAAAACCTTTGAGGCATTCTACTGACTTACTGTAGCCTCATACAGGTAGACCTCAAGTGGAACCCAGGCTGTCCTATAAACTCACACTGACACTTTAATGTGTTTTGATTACAGGAAATCCTGAAGTATTGAATGAGTGATGTATGCACATGATCCCACTTTTGCACAAAGCCTTCGTAACATTATTAGAATAGAAGATATTTAATTTTTTCTGCCCTTTCCCTTCACTTTGAGGACTTCCAATTTTGAATTCTGAACAGCTGCAGATAGATTTTCAGAAGGCACTGAGAGATCTCTCTAGTGCAGCTGGGGAATGTTTCCCACTCGTTCTTCTGGACTCCAACTTTTACCAGTGATTTTTTTGTTACGTTTTGTTTATTTTTCCTTTTTTTTTTTTTTCCCTTCTTTTTATTACATTTATAACTTATTATTATTAAGTTTCCCGAATTGCTCTTATTTTATTGATATCACTCAAGGTTACGTATTTATTTGACTTTATTTCAGACCTACTTTTAAGTTTGAGTCACTGAATTTTAAATATTTTTCCATGTTTTTATCATCAGATGATAAAGAAAAGTATGGTTGCTAAAGAACAACATCATCATTTCTTTCTGGTCTTAGTGAGTTACCATTTGAAATGTAGTAATGCTGTGTTGTTCATTACTACGCCAGGAGAAAACCAAATCTGGTCTTTAGATAGCATTTTAATGATGGTTGCTGCTTTTAAGATAAGCCTTTTCTGATATCCAAGGTTTTGTTTTCCATTCTGTCCATTCTGTCTTTTCTTTGTAGTCTGCCAGCTTTCTTGTTGTTTCATGTCTATTTGCATTCTCATGGCAAATTGTCTAACAGAGAAGAGAAAAAGAAGTAATAATGGAGGGGTGCTATTCAACAGGTAGTACTTATTTGTGTTTCTTTTGGTGAAGCTCTAGTTCTACTTTTCTTATCCTCGTATGACAGTAGAACAGAGAATGGATTTTTGACAACTAAACCACTAAATATTTTTTCTGCAGCTCAAGAATCTCCTGTTTATTTTAAATACAGAAGTACAGAATTTTAGTAAGACAACAAAAACAGAACTCTGCTGTTGAACTGTTGACTTTAGTATACAGTGGCTTTCAGTAGGAAATGCACATCAGCAGCTGAATGTATTAGAGCTACATAAAGTAGTATTAGGGAAGTTGGTATGTAGTTGCTTGGTGCTGACAGTACTGAGCATTTTTCAAATGAAGCCATTGGTCTGTTTCAGGGATTTGCAAGATTCAGGAAGAGTAAGAGCTGATTTTTGTGTTTTGTGAAGGAAAGCTAATTATCTATTGTCTAAAAAATGGTCTTTTTTTTGTTTTTTTCTTTCTTAGCAAGATATCTGAACTACTTATGAAGTATATGGAAGATTTTCTTTCATTTGGAGAATGTGTTTCAATTATGATAATTGCTTTAATGTTGCTGCTATCTTAAATTGTGGCTACGTATGAACATTGAAGGTGGAAGGGAGACCTTTCCAATCGCAGTATGTGATTTGACTCTGTAAGAAAATAGAAGGAAGCTACCATATTATGTGCAATAAGTCACATATATAAATCAGCAGTCCATTGTGACTGGATTCCTTGTAGGTCTCATTACAATGGAGGCAGTTACAAGGGGTCTATCTGAAGGTTCAGTATTATTTAGCTGTTTATTCTAGATAAAAAATGTTGAAGTGTAGATTTATTAATGTTCTTAGGTTGGATTTAATGTCTGTTTTAGTAATGAGGTAAAATGCCTCTAACCAAAATATCTGAGAGACTGTTTTTGAAGAGAAGCCTCTTAAATCACAGTTCAGCAAATCATAATGCTCTGTTGACACCCTTGACCCTAAATCTTTTTGAATCTTTTGAATGCTTACAGTATTTATCTTTTTGTTCAGAAACCCTCTGTACTCAGAGGAAGAGACATTTAGCAAATTGACTGCATTGGAAATTTGTTTTTCTGCTCAGATATTAATATTTTATTTCAAACTATTAAGTTAAAAGTGTCTCAGATGCAAACCAGCTCTTCCTGGGAGGAAATGCAGCTTTCTTGCTGTGTTCAGCTCTGTTAGCATGATGTAGCTTCAGCTAAAATATCTACTGCTTAGTGTCATTGATTCTGGTGTTACTTGCAGGACTCCAAGTCTTGAAGAGCAGTATATGCATTTTCCTTTCTTTTTCAGTTATTCCCTGGGCAGATGTTTCTAAGTGCTTTAAGAGAATTTTCAGGAGGTTTTCCTTCATTATCTTGACAAAGGCACTTCATTTACACAATCACAGAAAATAATGTACCTCTTCGATGCCTTTAGAGCACTAGTCCTTTGCTAGAGATACTTCAATCAGTGTTTTAATGTCTATTAGGATTTGTTGCAAATACACTTTTATCATTTCCCTAGTAATTCTTGAAGCAAAACTACTCATACATAAATCTGCTAATGCTCTGAAGGTCTAGCACCTCCAATATCAAGAGATCTATACAATGTGTTTTTTTTGTTTTTATTTTTTTTTCCCCTGTCGTTTTGATGAGGAAATTACTGAAACTATTCAAGGTGAAATTACAATCAGGTATAGCATGAGTTATTACAGCATTGGGACTTCATTTATAGAAGAAAAACTTGGAAAAATTATTTTGAAAGCTTTTTACTTTTGCTCTAGCTGTGTACACCGAATATTCAGGGTATAACTGGCACGTAATCTTATAACTGTATAGAGTAAACTGAAATAGTTAAGTGTGTAATACTTTCCAAAATCCTTTACAGTCTGTCTTTGTAATTAAGACTTGCGAAGTCTTCATTTCAGCAATACAACAAGGCATTTATTTGTCATCAGCAAAGTCTGATTATATAAGACTGATGCTATACACACCCACACATGTATGTTGCATGGTGAAGCTTAGTAAAATCTTTTATCACTTGGTTTTGTCCCATGATGCACATAAATGTTTTCCTTTTCTTTCTATTCACTGTCTCTTGTTGCCCTTGCCCTGTAACCCCTGCATCACGTCCAGTTCCTATACACAGACACCATTCCTTAAGTGGTGTCCAGGTGAGGTATATCCTTTCTGTGTGGGTTTTCATAATATTAAGACCCTGTAAGATACTGTTAACCATCAAACACATCTTCATAACAAATACTAAGTATTTTCCGAGCTTTCTTTTAAATAAATGGCACCTACCTGAAATGTAACAATTAATTATCAAACAAACAAACAAAAAAGTGAATTATTCAGCCTTGTTTCTGGTAACGCTAGTTGTGTTGGTTACCCCTATCCAGGAACAGATCCATTCAAGAAAGACAAAGACTTCTCCACAGAATGGCTTAGTGTTGCTCACCTGAGGAGAGTGTTGGCATTTTTTTCACAGAGCATGAAGATGAGGCATAGATTTGTGGTCTGGCTGTTCTACAAAACATGATTTAGTGGGCAGTGTTAGTTGTAGTAGGAAAGGAAGAGGAGGGGAAGGACTGAAATAGAATGTATGATAGTACATGATTAAAAGAAGATTGTGCATCTATTTTAAGTTGGAGTTTTGTCAAGCTTATATTGAAATGCCTAGCTCTTATCTTGTGATGGAAGATAGTGACATACTCCTCTTCCTGTTGTTAAACATCTGTACTTTAATGCCTAAGCTGTCTGAAACAGGGTATGACTGCTCTCAGGAGATGTATCTGATAATGGTATGGTTTGCAGATGCTGTGTGGAAGGAGCAGTGCTGCTTCTGATAACACTTTATCCTTTTCTTAGTAAAGGATATCACAAGAAGCTAAGTATGCTTTTTTCCTAACTTATTTATATTTAAATGCAATTTTTTTGGCCTCTTTTTTCAGCTTATGGAAAAAACTGACAGAGACTACTACACTCTGGATGACATGTTTGTTTCCAAAGCAGCAAAAAAAGCACGCAGTGGGGAAGAAGAAGAAATACAAAGAAGAAAAGCAATACGTGAGCACCAGCAGCTTGCTGCACGCATGGAAAAGTGTCCTTACTGTTTTGATAGCAATGAACTTTCTAAACATCTTATTATTGCAATTGGTACCAAGGTAAGAAAATAGCAATTTAGCACAAAAGTAAATATAAAAAAGAAAGAATAGTAGAGTGACTGAGTTAAAAAACACAATTGCTTCTTTCTTTGATTATTCTGCATCTTATTCTCCCTGCCCTTCCAATTGATTTCAAGAGTTCCTCAAGGATTAGGGAGAAAAAGATATCTGTTGTGAATTACAAATCTAGTCTTTTGTATCAGAACTTCTAATTTGTGGAAAACATAAAGCAATAATGAAAGATCTAAGTACAAACCATAGGTGGATTTGTGGAAGGCTAAATCATACCACTCTGGAGGAAATTTGAACTGATTATGATCTGTATCTCAATGATATCAAAGAAACCCAAGTGCAGAATTTCATTCTTAAGCTTAAAATCCTTTGAAATAAACTAAACCAAACCTTCCTCATTTTGTTAATTCTTTCAAAATATATGTGAATATTTGGACTTGTAATAGCCCTTGCTGTATATACTTTGCTGTAAGTAGAAGATAATGGCTTCTATTGGTTTGAAATGTAACAGATGATGTATTTCTTCAACTTAGCAATGAGAATATTTTTAACTCTATAATAATAGGAACTTCAGTTTTTGTTCACTCTTTATAGGTATACTTGTCTCTGCCAAGCAACCAGTCCTTAATTGAAGGTCACTGCCTGATAGCTCCTTTACAGCACCATACTGCAGCCACTCTTTTGGATGAAGAAATCTGGGAAGAAATTCAGGTCAGCTAAGAAACTGTCTCATGTTCCAGCAGCTTTGTAAAATAATACTTTGAATAATATGGTACACACTTGAAAAGTAGGTACACAAGAATCTAATTAGGTTTAACAAGGCAAAGAGCAAAGTGTTGCACTTGGGTCAAGGCAATCCCTGATATGAGTTCAGATATGAGAAGAATTTATTGAGAGCAGCCCTGCCAAGAAGAACTTGGATGTCCTGATAGACAGAAATTTGAACATGAGGCAGCAGTGTGCACTTGCTGCCCAGAAAGCCAACAGGATCCTGGGGTGCATCAAAAGAGGAGTGACAACAGGGAGAGAGAGGGGATTGTCACTCGCTACTCTGCCTTATGAGGCCCCATCTGCAGTATTGTGTCCATGGCTGGGGCCCCCAGTACAGGAGGGATGTGGAGCTCTTGGAGTGGCTCCAGAAGAGGGCCACAAGAATGATGAAAGGGCTGTAGCACCTCTCTTATGAAGACAGATTGATGGAACTGGGCTTGTTTAGTCTGGAGAAGAGAAGGCTTCAGGGAGACCTCATTGCAGCCTTCCAGCACGTGAAGTGAGCCTACAAGTAGAAGGAGTACCAACTTTCTACACCATCTGATAGTGGTAGGACAAGGAGGAATGGCTTTAAACTAAAAAGAGAGGAGATTTGGGTTAGATCTTAGGAAGAAACTTTTCACTGGCACTGTGGTGAGCTGTTAAAAAGGTTGCCTGGAGAGGTTGCAGATACCCCATCCCTGGATGCCAAGATGAATGAGACCCTGGGCAGCATGATCTAGTGGATGGCAACTCTACTTGGAACTAGATGATCTTTAAGGTCTCCTCTTACCTAAGCCATTCTGTGATACGATTGTGTGATACTTGTCGTGTCTATTTTAATAGTTCCCAACCTGTCAGCTCATTTTGATCCCACTAAGGGATAGAACATGTTTGCATTATAAAAGGAAATTAATGGTCAAAAGTTGGTAAAGGGAGATGCAGGGTAAACATTGAAGAAAAGTTTCAGTTTATAAGCCCTAGAAAAAAAATGCCTAAGAATGTTGCAGGACTTCTTGGAGATCCTGGCAATAGATGAGAGGGATGTGTCAAGACTGACAAAGGTACAGCTGATCCCTTGCAGAAAGCGTAACAACTGGCTAGGTTGCACTATTAAGAAAATGGTTGTCAGAGAGGGAAGATCACTTATAATGAAGCACCAGCTAAAGATACATTTCTGCATGAGGTTTTTTTTTTTTTAAGCTAATCTGATTTCGTGGTAGATATCATTCTTACTCATATCTGAAGTCCCTGGTAGAATACAATTTCCTCCTTTTTTAATAAGATTTTTTTACAATAAGGGTGCCAAATGTGATGGATCAAGCTCTCTTTCATGTGAAGACATTTTGAGGTTTCTTTGAGTTTTGCTTTCTTTCGAAAAGGAAAAAAAAGGAGACATATAAGAAACTTCTGCCTAAAAGATAGTGATCAGCCTCCCTTAATTCCACCATTGGTATTTTTACAATGGTAAAACAATTTGCATCAAAATATTGGAGACTATTTCAAAGAAAATAAAACATTAACGACACAGTTAAATTCCACAGTTTCTAGGTGTAAAATCAGGTTAATCCGTGAGTTTGAAATGGTTTAAATAACTTTGGTCTTGTCTCAAGTGTAGCATATGGGTTCTCTGACTTTCCACAGGTACTCCCAGCATTGATATTTCTGGCTGATGTAATTTTTGTACAGTGTTGCTTTGCAAATTACTCTCCTCCCTAGGAAGAACAAAAAGGAGAGCTTTCATATATGAACAGAAATGATTCAGAAAGTTGTTGTAAGAAGGGAACAAGCATAATGAGTATGATCAGAAGGAAAAACAGAGGATGAGGGTGAAGAGGTCTATGTGTGTATCCTGTATCCTGTACTTTAACCTATTGTCTTTTAGCAAAATAGGGTCATAGAATAAGTGATTCAAAATGAAAGATGATCACTTTTCTGAATGTATAGGGGAAGGAAAATTGGATAAAGACAAGATAAGTAAATGCAGTTTCTGAATTCAGTCCTGGAATTTTTCTTGCTAGAAAATGCAGCTTGTTGGTAAACTCATCAATTCTGTGAATGTGTTAATTGTGAGTTTAAATATTTCTTTGTGGCAAAGTACTTAGGAGGTGATGGTCACATTATTTTGCAGCTTTTGTGTAATTCAGTAGGAGGAGTCTGGAAAGCTTCCATAAGAATATAAGCACACACTTACTTGGTGACCAAACTAACTTAATGATGCCAAAGCCCTATTTGGTATTGTTGACAGAAAAAAAAACCATCTTTATTACACTATATTGCACATGTTTTAGCTCTATTTATTATTTTTTTTTCCTGAGATATGTTGGAAAGGTTCTTTTATATTGTATCTTCAGGTGCTTAAATTTAACATGATGCATGTTTTAGAAGTTATCTACTTCACTTGACAAAGTAAATATGCATCTAATTTTTTTATACAAAAATACATAAATCTTTGCATGTTCTGTTGCCTGAGTTGTGACATGTATCAACATACTGTGTATTTGAGCATGAATCATGCCTCCTTGATGAAAATATTAAAGAGTACAGGTACCAGTACAGACCCATGAGGGTCACCACATGTCACTGTTCTCCATACAGACACTGATCTATTGGTCACTGCCCTCTGGGTATGATCTTGCAACCAGTTTATCAACCATTGAACAGTCCACCCATGAAATCCCTGTCTTTCCAGTTTGGAGAGAAGAATGTTACAGGGAGCCATGTCAAAAGCCTTACTGAATTCCAAGTAGATAGCTCTTCCCTTGTCTAATGATACAGTTACATCATCATAGAAGGCCACTGGGCGGTCAGGCAGGACTTGCTCTTGGTGAAGCAATGCTGGTTGTCTCATACCACCTCTCTCACTTCCTCCTTAACACAATTTCCAGGAGGATTTGTTCCGTGACCAGTGGTGAGGCTAACAGGTCCAAAGTTCCCTGGGTGGTCCTTTCTAAATTTCTTAAGAATGGGTTTGACATTGCCTTTTTTCTAGTCACCAGGAACTGTCACCTGACTGCCGTGATTTTTCAGATATCAGCTCTCCCTTAGGACGCTGGGATGCATGGCAGTGGGACCCATAGACTTATGGGTGTTCAGTTTTCTCAAGTGGTTTTAAACCTGATCTTTGCTTACAGTGGGAGCGATGTTGCTCCCCCAGTTCTCTCCTCCCAACCCATCTGCTTGAAGAGCTGTTGCCAGTGAAGACTGAGGCACAAAAGTTGTTGAGTGCTTCATACTTCTCCTTGTCCACTGTTACCAGCCTGTCTGTGTTGCTCTGTAGTGGGGGTACGCCTTCTTTGGACATTCCTTTTCTCGCTGATATGCCTCTGGAAGCTTTTTTTACTCTTCTTTCTGCTTCTTTCCAAGACCAGTTCCATTTGGGCCTTGGCTTTCTTTACCCCTTCAGTAAACATCCAAGCAGCTTCCCTATACTACTTCCAGCTACCTGTTCCTGCTTCCACAGCCTATGCATTTTTTTTGTTCTTCAGTTTGATCAGCTGTGCTGGTTTCTTGCCTTCCTTTCTTGACTTTCTACACTTGGGGATTGTGAGCTCTTATGCACTATGGAAAACTTCCTTAAAGATCTGCCAGCTCTGCTCTTCTCCCTTGTCCCCAAGGACAGATTCCCGGGGGGGGTTTTGTTGACTTAATTCTCTGAAGAGATAGAATTCGTCTTTCTTGAAAATTCAGCATCCTGATTTTTCTTTGACTGATATCCCTCAGGATTGCAGACTCCACCACTGCATGATTACTACAACCCAGGCAGTCTCCAATCCTGATGTCACCAATCAGTTCACTTGTGCTGGTGAGGAATAGATCCAACACTGCATCCTCCCTGGTGTGGATGTCTACTACTTGGCTCAGGAATTTATCCCTGATACATTCTAGGAACCTCCTGGGTTGCCTAATTCTTATGGTACATCATAGTTATGAAATTCAACCTAGTTTTACTTCCAATTGTAAATAATAATAATGATAGTAACAACAATAATAAATGTGATATTAAGTGGAACTGAGTTTATACTGTTAAGTATAGTGCATATTTCACAATAGATTCCTAGACTTTGCATGTTTGCACTGTCAGAAATACAGTTTGTATTAGATTGTTGAATGAAGTAGAATTTTCCTAGTGTGATCACCGCTGTTCCATTTTATTATGATTTTCTAAGGAATTATATCTCTATCAGTGAAATAATATAAAATATTTTATCTGGAAGCTTTGAAAAGCTAATTCAAATTATACGTTCTTTTTCTTTTAACAGATGTTTAGAACGGCACTGGTGAAAATGTTTGAAGCTAGAGGCTTGGACTGTGTCTTTATAGAAACAAATATGAGTATGAAGAAACGATATCATATGGTATACGAATGCATTCCTCTTCCAAAAGAAGTAGGAGATATGGCTCCAATCTACTTTAAGGTATATGAAAAAAGCATTTTCTGTAGGTCATTTGAATGCGTTTATCATAAATTATTTCTGGAAAAGTTTTTTTTATATTCAAGTGCTAGTTTTGAAAAGGTAATTTTTTGTTTTTCTGATGAAGAAATGTTTCTTGATCTTTAAAAAAATGTGTTGGTTTAGTATCTGAGAAAGAAGCTTTTATAAGGGCAAATTTGACTGAGTGCACACATTCTTCAGTATTTATGAGTATATTATTTTATTTGTTCTTTGAAAATGTTCTCTGGAAATAAATAATGTAATTGTTTTAATGAAGTGGAAGTCAGTGTGATGGATAGCAACGCAGTAACTTTTACAACACATTTGTAACTCTCCACATGATTCATCTCATTGGCTATGCTTTAAGTGCATTAAGCATCTTCTTTGAAAACTAACAAAGTTGAAGTACAAGCTTCAATGCAATGTCATTTGTGTTAAACTTTTTCAGAAAATTTCCACCACTGACATACACAGTAAATGAAAATTAAATGAAAAGGAGAAAGGTACCTATATTATCCACACTTCCATATTATGAAAGATGCAGAGTCAATTTTAGAGGTTTTTGAGTGCATTCAGGCTTCTAATTTGGATTTTTGGATTTTCGTTTTGGAGTTTAAAAATAGACAAAAGGAAAAGAAGATAAAAGAATAAAAAAGGCTAATATTGCATAATGAAATCAGAACAGGTTTATTATGAGCTTAGTAAAAAGAAAATGAGACCTTTTAGTTTCTAATAATTTGGAAGTTTTTTATTAGAGGTAACTTGTCAGGCAGAAGGTAGATTTCAGGGGAAGAAAAGGAATAGAATTAAGTGAGTTTCAAGATATTAAATGATTCCTCTATAAAGTATGTTCTCTAAATCAGAAAGATTGCCAAAAATAAAATTACTGTTAAGAAACGACTAGTACTTGCAGTGCAAAGTGCGCTTTACTCCATTGGAAAGTGAGTTCTGTGCTGTACAACTGCTGTGCTAAATTTTCTCATTTAGAAAAATGATTTTACAGAAAGCTATAATGGAGTCTGATGAAGAGTGGTCCATGAACAAGAAGATAATTGATCTTTCTTCAAAAGATGTTCGGAAATCTGTAAGTAATGAAATGTATTGAACACTGAAATTTTCAGCAAATTGCTTTCATCTGTTTTAGTTATTAGCTGTTTCAAAGAGAGAAGGGGAGCGCAATTGAATTAGTGGGTCAGGAGATGGCATAGACATGATGAGCACTGGAGTCTGACTGAACTCCTAATTGACGTTAGGAAAGATTCCCATTTATTTCAACAACAGATGGACTGAGCTGCAAACATTGCTTGAGAACAAAGCTGGCATTTTGAGTACATGCACCAGCATAATTTTCTTGATTAACTTTAAGAATTAAGATAGATCAAAGATCTGAAAATTGCTGTCTGGGAAAGAATATGGTGTATCTTTTGCACTGACCTGGAACAGCCTTTAGTGTTGCTAAATTTATGGAGTGAAGATGCAAATAGTATTATGAATCTTTATTTCTATAACAAAGAGGCCGAAACATTTTTGCGTATGCATCTTAAATGAATAATCCTGAAACTGTTAAGTTCAAAAAATTGATCCATAGGTATGCTTTGGATTTCTTCTGCTTCTTAGCCTTTCTTAACAGGGAAAGTCAACACATGTCTCAAGAAAACAAAGTATAATTTTCTTGTCTTTGATAGAGCATCAGGACTTTTTTTTTTTAATTAAACATATGTTTTTGTGATTGTGTTATGTACCCAAAGTAGATCACTTTTCAAATTAATTCAGGGCACTTCTTTAAATTAATGAAATGCATCTGCATGTAAAGTGTTTCATAGTTGTATAACTTTAACATTATTTTAGGAAAAAAAAGAAAAGAAATGCCTTCGAGAAAATTTGAGAGAACAGTTTAGAGACTGACCTGAGGAAAATAGAGTTGCAGTATGAAATGGTGGTGTGTGGAATGAGAAGCAGACATGAGTGTGACATTTATTGGACTGACTGTGTGCAGAAATTGGGACCAGTTTTCTAGAGGCAGAGCCCTAGCACACAAGCCTAAGCAGCCAATGCTCTTGCACAGTATCAAAGCCTTTCTTTTTTTTACTCTGCACCCCCCAGTAAACAAACTCAGGGGTAAGCAGTGGGCTGGGAGGGGGCACAGCTGGGACAGCTGACACTGACAGTGCAGCAAGAACTCTTCGGCAATAAATAAGCGCTGGTGTATTATCAACACTGGCCTAGTTACCAGTCCAAAAATCGCTCTGTGTGGGCTGCTGTGGAGAAAATCCATCCACAATTAATATAAGGAGCACCTTGTGAAAATTTTCAATTATTTGAACCGTAGCAGAGAATATATGTATGGGTTTGAGGCTTTTTAAACCTTGTTATCCAGAAACAAATAATAAGCAAATTATGAAATTATCTGCTTTGGCAGTTATCAGTGTATCACTCTGTGTGAGGATCAGTGATTATCAGTGTTTCCTCTGAGTAACCACTTCCTCGTACAACGCGTCACCTTATTTTTAATAAATGCACTTAAAATTTGTACTCATCCCATATAATTCAAAGCTGTGGACTCAGACAGCCATTTGCTCGGTGTGCATGCTGCAGTCTAGCTCTTTCCTTGTCTCTGTCCTTCCCAGTCTCTTATCTGATGTATAATGGTGCCCTCCAGGTTCTGCCACATGGCAGTCCTTTTTTTTTCCTTTCTGTTTATGGTGCCTAGTTGACTTTTTTCCCTTTACCTGTTGGTCTTACTGTACTTTATATATGTATTTTATACTTTATATATATTTTATACTTTATATATATGTATTTTATACTGCACGAAGTGGTTTAGGAAGTGATTTAAAATAAAATGTAATACTACTAACTGTAAAATCACTTTCTTCAAGAAGCTGTGGGGAGGTTATTAAATGCTTGCAGTCTATTAACCATCTAAAATGCATTTTTTTGTATATAGGTTCCTAAAGGATTACCATACTTTTCAGTGGACTTTGGCCTTCAAGGAGGGTTTGCTCATATCATTGAAGATCAGCACAAGTTCCCTCACTACTTCGGAAAGGTACTGTATACAAAATCAGTTTACCAGTTGTACTCTGTTGTGTAAATTTTGAGTAATTAAATCAGTTGCTGCTACAACAGTCACTTCGATGTACCTTATCACAGTTCATGACTTGCCTTTTCATGGTAAGTCAGTATAACTTAGCTTGTGAATGAAGGATTGCTTTACTGTGTGATACTTGGAATTACAGATCGATTTTTCTTTTGAATCAATAGGAATTCTAGATATTTGACATACAGTCTGATAGATGGGAAATAACTGCTGCTATTAAAGATGTTAAAAATAGGGTTTTCGGGATGGCGAGATCTTCATACAGGCACTCTGACTGCCACTTGTACAAAGTAGAGGTCATACACACACACAGGCTCACAGACAACTCCTAGTGTAACACATATGTGGTTAAATCACTCCATTATGGCATAGAGAGTACATATAGAAATGCTGCAATAAAGTCGTCTTTTCCTTACTGTGTCGCAGTGATCAGCTGTTGAAAGAGTCAGTATTACAAAAGTTTGAAGAGGGATTAGGAAGTAATAGAACTTGAGAAAGTTGAGAGCAAAGTAAATAATTTTCTTTGTTCTCAGCTTCCCATTTTTTGACACAAATATAGAAATGCATCAACAATCTTGTAATGTTAGGATATTTTGTACTTACAACAATTCTAGTAAGGCAACTGTCTCACAACTACGGTTATAGTCCTTGAATTGATGTGTTCTTCAGAATTTTCAGTTTTTATAGCTAGCACAAATGATCTCATAATTGGAAAATTAGTGTTTTTACATTTTATGCTAAAATAGCAGTAAGTGGTATTATATTTTAGCATTTATCATTATCTGTCTTTGTTCTACTTGCAAAGGAAATCATTGGTGGCATGCTGGACTTGGAACCACGGCTATGGAGAAAAGGAGTCAGGCAGAACTTTGAGGAACAGAGGAAGAAAGTGTTACAGTTTGCACAGTGGTGGAAGCCATATGACTTCACCAAAAAGAAAGAATAAGTACATCTTTGCAGCTAAGGACTCTATAAGCCATAAATTATATAAAAGGATATTTCATTTATGAAATGTAATACCAGTATATTAAAACCAGTATATTATATATTCCTATTATGTTTTAAACCCAGGAGTGTTAGTTACTTGATTATCTCTTTCTGGTTTAGATACTGTATGAAACATGAACCTGCAAGCCTGACAAAACCAGAAGTTTACGATGATTTTGGTTTTTAATGTTTTAGCTGAGCCAAAACTAAAAGATCCATGTGACTATTGGAATTCTTAAAAATATAGCATTTTCTTTTGAGTTTTATAGTAATTTGAAACAATTTTTTATCTTGTAGCACAGAACTTGCGCTTAATTACAGCAGTGTCTTTTTGTAGAAAATGGTGTAAATTTTATGAACATGTTGATTAAAACACATTGTTGCACTGCCTTTGAGTCTTTGTTTTCTTTAGTTGACACCATTGCAGTAATGTTCAGTTATGACGTGATGAAACCTTGTTGATCCTATGCACAAAAATGCATTTTTCTGTACTTTCTTTCAATATGCAGTAGTATTTTCAATCTTACTTGTTGCACAAAGGATGATGAGATAATCTGTAGCTGATGGCAAATGACAGCTTTAGTGATTATGATTAGTACTGATGACAATTAAAACTCAAAAGGAAGTAGAGGGGAGGGAAGGGAAAGAAGCTTAAGGGACACATATTCTCTGATGGACAGCCAAGAAAGAAAATCACCACAGGGACCTCCCCGAATTACTCTTCTCCACTAGCACCCTTGCCAGAGTGGCAGATGATCTGTAGTAATACTTCCCAGATAATAAATTCATAGTTTTCACTGGGACTGGCTCAAACTCCATCTTGATTGTTTCTGCTTATGTAATTGGAATATTTAATGGACTGTTATTTAGCATATTTTTCACTAGGTCTCATGTTTGTTTGTTTGTTTGTTTGTTTGTTTTTTGCGTAAAACTTATGAAATGGGAGGGTGGGAAAAAGTGAGGAGAAAAAGGAAGATTCTTGAATCACTGGCAGTCACAGTCCATGGGAAAGCTGACAAAGTAATCTGAGGCTTTGCAGGAGCAGAGCTAGGAGAACAGTGCAGGGACAGAGGTCAAGGAGGAAGACATTGCTGTGGTGTCCTCCCAGTGGAGGGAGTGCAAAGTTGCAAACTTTGAGAATTGAGTGAAGACTGAGCGTTGCATGGAAAGGCTCTGGAATGGCAGATGGGAAGCCTTTAGCGTAACAACGGCTGAGGCATTGTGCTGGTGTGCCAACCTGCTTCTGCTCTTTTCCTGTTGAACCACTTGTCTGTACAACTCTATTACCTGTGGTGAACTGGTTGGGTTCGAAGTGGAAAACTAAATATTTCAGAATGGAGTAAGTGTTCATATCTGCTTCCTTAGTAGTCTTTTGCAACTATTCTGAAGAACTAGGAGGTTTTCTTTTCTTATTTTTGACATAAGCACATAGCATTTCTTTCCCATTTTGACTAGTAAATCTGTTAGAGGTAGAAAGCTATTACTGTGTTGCGAATTTTTGTAGGATCTTTGTGAACATCTGTTACTACAAGAGAAATAACTTAAAAATAAGCTGTCATGATCATTTTGGCGATTGAATGTCTGATTTCTTTTGTTTTAACTGGAAAGCCATGGATGAAAGAACCATTTCTACTATTCTCCAGTCAATTTTGATCTTCTTCAGGCTACTGGTGAGATTACAGTACAAACAGGATATGAAATAGCTGGGAGTTTTTGCTTATGATGTGGTAAAGCTGAAGGAAAATTAGGTAAAATGCAGTCTTTTGTGGTATAAAACATACATAACTTAAAGATTATTTTCTCAGAAAGTGCACATTGCCTCTGTTCTTGTCTCTTCCTTTGCAGGATAGCCATGAAATGGCAGAAGTGATCGTCTCTTAAGGCTGTTTTAAAGTCATTTATCAAATGCAATGCTAGAGATGCAATTTTTAAAAATAATTTAAATTCTGCTGAAAATCCCCATCAAGAGAAGGTTCACATAGGATACGTAGCTCTGAAACATCATCTGTGCATATTTTTATTATTTGGGTGTCGGCAATACTTCTAATCCTTAGACTGGAAAGGACTTGAGATGTTGCCCATACATATTTCCAAGCTACAAAGGCAGGAAAATATGTCTTATTCTGTCAGAAGTTCAGAGAATCAGCAATGTTGGAAAAGACCACTAACATTATCTACTCCAACAATCTACCCATCCCCACCATGCCCTCTAACCATGTCCCTCAGTGCCTTATCCACATGAGTCTTGAAAACCTCGATGACTCCATCACCTCCCTGGCAGCCTGTTCCAGGACGTCGCCACTCTTTCTGAGAAGAAATCTATTTCTTAATACTCAACCTGAACCTCCCCTGATGCAACTTTCAGAGCACCATGACACTGGCTACAAAATGGAGCTCAAAAGCCACAGAGGTATCCTTATCTTTCTGCATAACCACAGAGGTTGATAGCAAGGTGATTGCCTGAAGTCATCTGCTGAAGAACCACTTAAATTCAGTTAACGGGGAGAGCAAGGCTTTCTACTAATCACTGGTATTCTTTCAGACAGGTGGTTCTCATGCATGTCCATGTTCCACTTGCTTTTCTTTTTTCCTCTTGGGCTCTCCATTGGAATAAGATAAGTGAGGTGCTGCAATCAGTACAGTATTGTTGCTTTGTACGTATTAAAATTCCTGAAGGAATACAATGTGGATTTTTATTGCTTTTAAAGAAAGTTAATATAGCAACATGCAAGGTCTGTTTCGTCTGAGTTATTTATTTATTCCTTTTCTTCAGAATGAATTAGTCCCAGATTCATGATGAAATGTGACTTACTGGGATTTTATCTACTGAATTCTTCTATCAACTTGTTTTAAACTTTGTCTGAGTTCTGACTGGAAAATATTATGGTAAAATAAACAGTGGTTCTCATGGCAGGAAATCACAAATCTCTTGTAATCTGAAGAATGAAATAAGAAGTGATTTGATGTGTTCCTAAATGATTCTCTCTGACTGAAATTTCTTCAGTATCTTCTGTCTCCTGTATCTGTATTTTTATCATTCAAGCATGTTTTCTATTTATGATTCAAGCTGCACAAGATGATGTGTAAACACATAAAATGATATATGCCTTTGGAAGCAAGATCCTTAATCACTGAGTCTTTTGAGTTGGAAGGGATCCTTAAAGGTCATCTAACCCAACCACCCTGCAGAGAAGGGGAGTATCCACAGCTCCATATGTTGCTTAGAGCCCCATCCAGCCTGACCTTCAGTGTCTCCAGGGGTGGGCACCCACCACCTCTCTGGGCAACCTCTTCCACTGCCTCGTCATTCTTATTGTAAAGAACTTCTTGCTTATGTTCAATCTGTTACCTCACTTTTAGTTTGAATCCATTTTCCCTTGTCCTATCACAACACACCCTGCTAAAGAGCCTGTCCTCACTTTAGATGCTGAAGGGCCACGTTCAGGTCTCCCCAAATCCTTCTCCAGGCTGAACAGCCCCAGCTCTCTCAGCCTGAATCAAGCCCAAATGTAGGTTATTTCATATATCTTTGATTTTCATTCCTTTTCCTGGATTTCATTTCTGTTATGCTAAAACCATTTTGAATTCTGCTCCTGCTCTTAAAAAGATTTTTTTTTACAATCCTTTGAATCATCTGCAAAATTAAGCAGCATGCTCTACTGCAGGAACTAGAAATTCATGCTACGTCCATGTGTGCCCCTTTGCTGCAAAGCAGTACTTCTGTTTTCCTCTATTTCTGTTTGTCAACAGTCTTGAAATGGGAAGAAATCTTTTTTTTACGTGCTGCAGGTGGGCTCCCTATTAAAACACTCTTCTGTGTCCATCTGCAGGCTGCATGTCTAAGGGGATTAAGTCAGCGCTGTCCTACGCAGTGAAGCTGATGGAGCGTTGCAGGGGTGATTCATCTCACACCAGTGCAGATGACCTGATGGGCTATTCAGATCAATTGCTAGAGTCTAGTGATATTGATTCTCAGCATAGAAACAGTCTAGATTTGACAAACTAGACTCCTTTAGCCTAGAGAAATATTCTATGGAGGCACAATGTGGCAATATTTATTTTTGTTCCACACAGATGCAACGAGTTGCTCCAATGTTGCATGATGTTTATATTGAATAGTGATGTTACAGTCAGAAGCCTTATCATAGAATCACAGAATCATAAAATGACCTGGGTTGGAAGGGATCATGAATCTCTAACCCTCCTGCCGCATGCAGGGCTGCCAACCTCCATATCTAATGCTCCACCACGCTGCCCAGAGCCCCATCCAACCTGGCCTTGAACACCTCCAGGGACGGGGCATCCACGACCTCTCTGGGCAGCCTGTTCCAGCACTCTGTCTGCAAACAAACCATGTTTCTCTTGTTGACATTTTCTTCTCTCAAATCAGAAATGATCAGAACACCAAACCTTAGTCTATCAGCAGAGAAAACTTACTGAAAATAAATACATTGAATTAAATGTCTCAGCTTAATTGAAATAACTTCGTGGATTAAACTGCATGGCTGACATTCTCAATAGTTTTCTCTCTTTGCTATAATGTGTTGGAAATTATTCTGGAATTACCATGCTTTGTATTTCTAGCCCCCTGCCTTGGGAGCAGGGAGCAGATTCCTGTGTAAGCAGATTTGGAAGGCTTGGGCCAAGTCCTGATTTGTCTCATGCTTGTCCTGGGGGAAGTCACCTGTTCCTTGCCCTTTGCTATCTGCAGGTAGTGAGATGACCATTGGAAGCAGAAGTTTTGGCAGACTGCTTTGAGGCGCTGTGAGTCCTTGCAGTGATTTCCAGACGGTTGAATCTATACATGAATGTGCTGCTGTCCACTCTTGAGAACGCCTGGAAAATTTTATCTGTAATTGAAACATAGACCTGAAATTTCAGAAACCTTGAAAACACTTTCAAAGGCAAGGAGTAGGCGGATTTTTTAACTATTATATTTTAAGATTGTATTCATATTTAATGTTCATATTTTTAATGTTAATTATTATTTTTTATAAACATCATGTGCTTCTCAAGAGATTTGTCCAATGTGTAGAACTGTGTAGGAAGATTTTGCATTTATTTTCTCCACAGAGCAAAAATATTGTGGCTGGTATCAGAACTGGAACAGATGTCACAGGATGCCCTGCTCCACCCGCATCCCTAATCCCAACCCCAAGGTGCAACCTGTTTCAAGTGGCCAGCTGCCTCTGTGAAGTGCTCCTTGCCCGTGAATGCTGTGTTTCAGATGATTTGCATCATCTTTACTTTTAGCTTCTGTGCAAAGATCCCAAATCAAATCTTTGTGAGAACTGCCGCCCAGGAAAATTTTGCTGTCTTCTTCTCTGCTAATGACAAGTTTGGTCTTGCTGTTAAGCTGTTCAGTCGTCTTCCTTAGGATGCTCTTATAC